ATGCTGTGCAGGCCCTGGAACCCTGGGCACACTGTGCTGGTCACCAAAGCTGGGCATGGTGGTGCACCCCTGTTATCCCAGTGCTGGGGAGGCTGAGATGGGAGGATCGCTATGAGCCTGAGCTGCGTAGCAAGACCCTGTACCAAATAAAGAAAAAAAAAATTTAAAAGCTAGCTATCATAAGAAATTAGAAAGCATCAACATACAAAACAAAATAAAATAAAAAGGAGAAAATAGAAAATGAGACACAGAAAGAACCAAAGTGCAACCCCAGGCCCCCAGCCCATCCGGGACAAGGCTGGAACACAGGAGAGAAATAAAATTAGAAGTCAAACACTGGAAATTTCTGAAATGATAACAATAGAAGGGAAAAAACAAATGCAAAAGGCTATAGAGAAAATAATCTCTTAGGTACAAAAAGAAATGAAGCTTAAAATCAAAGATATTAGAGAGGGCACAAAGCTTTAAAAAAAATGATGGAAACAAAAATTCCCAAACATAGGAAATAAGTGGAATCCATAAAATGCATCCAAATAGAAATCCAAGAGATTAAAACCTCCAGTAAAAGTATATACAACAGATTTTCTTATTTTTTTAGGGAAGGGTCTGCTGGGTGTTCAGGGTCTCACTACTAGATCAAACTTGTAGTGATCCGCCTGTTTATAGCCTCCCAAGGGCTGGGATTATAGGCACGTGCCACCACGCCCAGTCTCAATTGCCATCTCAGTGCACCCCAGGGGCGGGGCTGGCATATCAGGCCCTGGGATGGAACCCCCAGCCCCTGTGCCTGCTTGCAGGTGCTTTAATCCCTTGAGCTATTTGGCCAGCCCACAACAGATTAAACAAAGGAGAGGAAAGAATATTATATCTTGACAGAATTACAACTACTGATCATGAGAAGAAAGATCTTAGAACTAGCAAGAGACCACGCAAAATCAACCCAACAGCTACAAGATGAATCGAAGAAGATAACATAAGGTTGATTGGGGTCAATGAGAAAGCTGGAGACAGCACAAATGACATAAGAAAAAAACCTCATCACAGAAATAATGGCAGGAAACTTCCCAAATATGGATAATGAATTTGACATATAGACAAATGAAGCATATAAAACTCCAAATATTCATGACTGAAATAAAACTACACCAAGACATAATAATCAAGATTCTAGAAATTCACCATAAGAACAGAATATTAAAAGCTGTTAGAGAAGAGAAACAGCCCATCAGAATCATAGCAGACTTCTCAACACACACCATCAAATCAAGAAGAGCTTGGAGTAAAGTATTTCAAGTCCTGAAAGAAAACAACTTCCGCCCCATATTGATGTACCCTGAAAAACTATTTTTTAAAATTAATGGAGAAATAAGATACTTCCACAACAAAGAAAACTGAAGAAATTCATGACTACCAGACAAATCCTACAAAGAGTACTGAAAGACTCTCTAGACAGAGATAAAACTGACCATAATTCTAAGAACAACAGCAAAAGAAAACAAAATTCAGGGCAAGCAAATGAACATGGGAAAAGCAGGGAGCCAAAAGCACAAAAATATCATGACAAAGATAAGCCAAAACATATCAGTTCTAACCATCAATGTAAATGATGTCAATTCACCAATCAAGAGAAACAGACTGGCAGAATGAATCAAGAAACATGGTCTGGGCCAGGGAGATAGCTCAGTAGAATGAGTGCTTACCTGGCAAGTGCAGGGTCCTGAGTTCAATCCCTGGTACTGGAAAAAAAAAAAAAAAAAAAAAAAAGAAAGAAAAGAAACATGTTTCAGCAATATGCTGTGCATAAGAAACACATAGAAGGGGGCCGGGGAGATGGCTCAGTGGAATAAGTGCTTCCCTGGCAAACGCAAGGGCCTGAGTTCAATCCCCAGGTCCACAAAAAATGAATGAATAAATGAAAATAAATTTTAAAAAAAGAAACACATACACCTCTTGGGGGGAAAAAAAAGATTCATAGGCTGAAAGTCAAAGGCTAGAAAATAATGTTCCATGCAATAGGAAAGCAGAGAAAAGTAGGAATAGTTATTCTTTTTTTTTTCTTTTTGTGGAACCAAGGATTGAACTCAGGCCCTTGTGCTTGCCAGACAAGCACTTATTCTACTGAGTTATCTCCCTGGCCCTAGCTATTCTGTTTGAAGATAACATGAACTTCAAACCAAGAGTGATGAAAAGAGATGAAGATAAAGAAGGTCACTACATACTTGTTAGGGGAAAACATCAAGAAAAAGAGATAACAATCATAAATATATACCAAATACATAGACCACTCAACTATATGACTATGACTATATATATATATATATATATATATACACAATTGTGACAGGAGACCTTAATACCACATTGTCACACAGACAGAAATAAAAAAATCAGCAAAGAAATGTCAGAACTGAACCAAACTATGAATAAATGAACTTTGTAGATGTTACAGACAGTTCTACCTAACATCAGAATACACATTCTTCTCAATTGCACATATAACATTCTCTAAAATAGACCATATACTAACCCACAGAACATGCTTAAGTGAATGCAAAGGAACTGAAATTACCCCATTCATATTAGCTGACCATGTTGCAGTATATTTGGAAATTAATGACAAAAGAATCTCCATAAACATATGGAAATTAAATAGCACCCTCAAAAACAACCAATGAGTCACAGATGAAATTAAAGAAAAAAATTAAAGAATATTTATAACTAAAGGAAAATGTAGATAAAGCATACTGGAACATATGGGGTCAATGAAAGCAGTCCTAAGAGGAAAATTTATGGGGGTTAACTCTCACATCAGGAAAACAGAATGAGCACAAATTAAAAAAAACCTAGCATTGAACCTCAAGTTTCTAGAAAAAGAAGAGCAAGGCAAGCTCAAAGCCCATACAAATGAGGAAATTATAAAGATCAGAGAAGCAGTTAATGAAATGGAAGCTAAGAAAACAATACAAAGAATTAATGAAATGCAGAATCATCTCTTTGAAAGAATAAAAAATTTGATAAACCTTTATGAAAAAAGGAAAGAAAAAACTCAAATTCATGCATCGAGGAAGAAAAGGTGTGAAATCATGACAGATCTTTTGGAAATTCAGGATAACATTCATACCTACTTGGAAAATCTTCACTCTCATTGAATTGAAACACAGAAGACATAGAAACATTACTAGATAAATATGAATTACCAAAGTTGAATCAAGAAGATATAAAACTAAAAAAAAGAAGATATAAAACTTTTTCAATAACTGAATATCAGTTAATGAGATTGAAGATGTAATTAATTAAAAACTTACCAACAAATAAAACATCCTGATGAATTCACTGCTGAATTTTACAAGAAGTTTAGAGAGATTTTCATACCAATACTCTTCAAACAATTTAATGAACTTGAAAGGGAAATAATACTCCACAACTCAGTCATGAAGGCAAGTATTACCATCATTCCAAAACCAAGGAAAGACCAAACCAGAAAAGAGAACTAAAACCAATCTACCTAATGAACATAGGTGAAAAAAATCCTGAATAAGATATTAGCAAACAGAATGCAGCAAATCATCGAGAAGATTAGATATCATGACTAAGTAGGATTCATCCCAAGAATGGAGTGATGATTCAACATATGCAAATTAATGAATGCAATATACCATATGAACAGAGCCAAAGACAAAAATCACAAACTCATCTCAACAGAGGCAGAAACAGCTTTTGACAAAGTCCAATATTCATTTATGATAAAAAACCTTACAGAAAATCAGATTAGATAGTATTTAGCTCAATCCAATAAAACTCATCTATAAGAAACCAACAGCCAACATCACATTAAATGGACAAAAACTGAAAGCTTTAACTCCAAGATCAGGAGCAAGACGGGGATCCATTATCATCACTCTTATTGAATACAATTCTGGAAACATTCGCCAGATCAGTTAGGCAAGAAAAAGAAATAAAAGGAATAAGGATAGGAAAGGAAGAAGTTATACTATCATTATTTGCAGATGACATGATACTCTACATAGAACACCAACCCCCCAAGACTTCTAGAATGAATATCCAAATTCAGTAGTGTAGCTAGATACAAATCAACACCCAAAAATCAATAGCATTCCAGTACACAAACAACAAACTCAAGAGCAAAACCACACCTTTCACAATAGCATTAAAAAAAAGAAAGAAAGAAAAGAAATACCTAGGAACCAATCAAACAAAGTAAAAGAGGGTGGGCAAGATAGCTCAGCAGTCTAAAGTGCCTTCATAGGCAAGCTTAGGTAACCGCAGGGACTGCAGTTTGGTTTCCCGCACCACATGCCAGCCACAAAAACAAACAAAAAGAAAAAGTAAAAGATCTATATGTCAAAATTAAATCACTCTTTTGTTTTGCTGAATTTACGCACCTGTAGTATTTAGATGCCAATGGAATACCCATCTCTGACAGGACTAAATAAAAACAGGGGATACAAAGGAAGGACCATTTTGTATCTGTACATATAGAATAGTTAGGATAGAGATACAGTTACTTTCACTTAATTCAGTGAGAAGAAAGATTTGTACTAATAGTGTTTGGACAAGATATCCTGTCTGCATCTTGTACTATGGATAACCACTAAGAAGATAACAATGTATAATGTATTAATTATTGAAACTGTCCTATTAATCAGTTTTGAAACTGTCTCATGGCTATTTGTTTTTCAATAAAATAAAATAAATCACTCTGAAAGGGAGATTGAAGAGAATATCAGATAATCGAAAGGTATTCCTTGCTCATGGATAGGAAGAACCAACATTGTGAAAATGGCCGTACTCCCAGAACTTAAACAGATTCAAAGCAATCTCAATTGAAATACCATTTGCATAACTCACAGAACCAGAGAAAACATTCCTAAAATTCATTTGGAAAAGGAAGAGACCTAGAATAGCAAAGGCAATCCTGAGCAACAAAAAGCAGGAGCAAGACAGGAAATGTCACAATCCCTGACTTGAAAGTATACTACAAAGCTGCTGTGATAAAATCAGCACGGTACTAGCAAAAAACAGGCCTGAGGATCAATGGGACAGATCGGAAGATGCAGACACAACAACTATGCACTCAGCCACCTTATCTTTGAGAAAGGGGGCAAACATGTTCAAGAAAAGAAAACCTCTGTAACAAAAGGTGCTGGAAAAACTGGTTTGGCACATGCAAAAACTAGACCCATATCTATCACCATGTACCAAACTAAAGTCAAAATGGATCAAAGATCTAAATATTAACACTTAAACATTAAATCTACTGGAATATAAATTAGATAGAAATCTTGAAGAGATATGTAGGTAAAGAGTTGATGAACAAAACCCAAACTGGACAGGGAATACTTCAAGAAATCAACTGGGGTCTCATTAAAAAGCTTTTACATGTCACAAGGAATCACCAGTTGATTGAAAAGATAACCTACAGAGCAAGAAAAAAATTTAGCCAACTGTCCCTCAGACAAAGGACTTCTATCTAGAACAAAGAATTAAAAAAAAGTCAGACCTCCCCCAAATTCAAAGATCCAATCCAAATATAACCATCTGAGATGAACACACACTTCTCAGATGAAGAAATACAAATGGCAAATAATTATATGAAAAAATGTTCAACATGGTCTTTTGAGAGATGCACATTAAAATAGCACTGAGATTCCATCTCACTCATGAAAGAATAACAATCATCAAGAAATCAAACAATAACAGATGCTGGAGAGGCTGAGGAGAGAAAAGAAAGCTTCTTCCTTCTTGGTGGGAGGGTAGATTAGTATAACCACTGTGGAAATCAGTGTGTTGATTCCTCAAAAACCTAGGAGTGGAAGTCTCATTTTAACCAGATATTCCCTTTCTAGGTATCTTCCCAGAAGAATTAAAAACTTCATACAACAATGATATGTGTGCACCCATATGTATAGCAGCACACTTTGTAAAAGCTAGATCTTTGAAACAACACAGATGCCCATCAACCAAGGAATGGGTAAAAAAAAGATGTGATACTTTTATACAATGGAGTACTACTATTTTAAACACATATACCCAAAGAATATGGTGTTTGTGCCATATGTATCACTATACCCAGTAACACAAACATCTATTTCTAGTGTTTTGATATGTATGACTCAACAGTCTTGTAGATCCACATCTTCCTGAGTACTGTTTTGCACATATGCAACTACCATTAACCCAGCCACATACTTCTGTTTAGTGATTTCAACAGACATCATGAAATATGTATGTTCAGAAATACAAAGCACTCTTCTAAAAACACTACTTTGTCCCTTCTTCAAAGTATTCAGTAGAACAGATTTTTGATATAATTTGAATATATATTATTGAACAATGTGCTAGATCCATATCATATTCCAAAAAACAAGTTTCACACACGTATCACTGTCCTCAGTAAATTGTACCTCTAGGTATACTGAACACAATATTTGAGCATTTATGAATAAACAGAATGGTGTGTGGCCCAGATATTATGAAAAACAGCTTCACACAAATCGCTCTATTCAGTAACATAGGCACTTTAAGATTCTAAACATAGTAGTATGTTTGCTATGACTTTTTCAGCACTGGGTTTTTGAAATATATGAGCATAGTGAGTAATAGCAGGTGCATTTAGCAAGAAAACTACATATACCACATATTGATATTGGGTTAGAGATTGTGGTTTTTTGGTAAGGGCTAGTGCTTTTGGGTTAGAGTTAAGCTTTCGGTTTGGAATCAGGAATTTAAGCAGAGATGGGTTAGGGGTTGGAGCAGGGCTCAGGGTCTTCAGCAGGGTGGTGAGGGGGAAGGGTCAGAGGTTAGATTTCTATTTATTGACGTGAGGTCTCAGATAAGTGGAATCCTACTATGTTCGTCTTTCTGTGTCTGGCTTATTTGACTCATAATGTTAAAGATTCTTCCACGCATATTCATATTCAACTTTCTCCAGTGTGTCAAATGTCAGTTTATGTGGTTTATCTTTGCATCATGATTCTAGCGAGTTCCACATGATACATTTTAATTTTACTGTCATCTTTTTTTTTTTTTTCAGGATTAGACCACATTTATTTTTTTCTTACAAAAAATCCAAACAAATAATGAAATAAATGTATTTCTATAAGCATTCTATCCTGGGTTCCTTGTCCTAGAATTTAGTATACAGTTCATATTGAGGGTATGTCAACTCTTCTGGATGTTATGATGTCTCCATCTTATAACCATGTTTCTCTAGTTCAGCTTGTAGCTGGTTGGAGAAGTCGTCCTCGACATTGTCGTCATCCCAGTTATCTTCCAAGACATGGGCATCTTCATCTTCATCCATACCAGTCCAGTCTTCGGCAGGGAACTCCTCGAACTCCTCATCCTCCTCTAGGAGACCCAGAACTGCCGTGAAGCCCTGGGTCTAGTGAGAAGGCTTGTGGTCAGAAGAGAGCCCTTGGGGGAACTAGCAGTAAAATATGATTGTCAGTTCTCTACTGTCAGCTACTTCCCCTCACTCTGGTCACAGGACGTTCAGCAGGGCCTGTGGGGGTGAGCATGGAGATTCACACTCCTGTGAATCTCCTCTACCGACTGCTTTTTCTCTGACATCACTACCCTCCAAGCCTACTACCCCTCAGAGCGGCACAGGACGAAAGTTGGAGGTCTCGCTACTCGACGGCCACAGCCACCGCCGCTTGTGTCACAGGCCTATTGTCATCTTTATAAACTTCTTCCCCTTT